CTTCTTTAGTTCTCAATCCCCAACTTGCTCCGAGTTACCTCTGATGCAAAAGTCACCTCTTCTGTGAACCTTCCCTCACCAGCACTGTTCTCTAGCACTCTGGGTACAATAACACTTGTGTACAAGGCTTTCCTCTGATTCTTTCTACATTGTACTACAGTGGTATGTATTTTCTTGCCCCACCAATGGAGTCGGAGCTGAAGGCAAGGACTGAACTTTGTGGATCTCTACTTTGACCGAGCCCAGTATCTGAAAGAATAAAGGAGTGCTGAAGTGAAAGAACAAACTAATAAAATGGAAGGGAAGTTTCGAGCTGTTGTCAATCAAGAGGCAGCTTATACCTGCAAACTCATTTTATTGGGGGAGAAAATGTGGTTCTGTAAACGTACTGGAGCCAATTTCAGAGCAGGGATCTTTGTGTTTACCTGCTTTCTCTCTAGGGCTCCTAATAGTACCTCACATATAGCAGGCTATAGTAAATATTTCTTACATGAGTGAAAAAATAAATAAACAGAATCACTCAGATCCTTCTTGATAGTTCCAATAGGGAGTCTTTAAAAAGATTTTTTCTTATAATTGATTATGAATTTATGTATTTCAGTGAGTTAAGACAATGATCTTTTTTGTTTTTCTTTCTTTTTAGTTTTTCGAGGCAAGGTTTCTCCGTGTAGCCCTGGCTGTCCTGGAGCTTGTTCTGTAGCCCAGGCTGGCCTCAAACTCACAGAGATCCAGTTGCTTCTGCCTCCTGAGTGCTGGGATTAAAGGTGTGCACCACCACCTCTGTCCACCAAAACAAAGACCATGATCTTTATTTTGAAGTTTCTGAAGCTCTTGATCTTTGGGTATTTTTCTAAAGGTTCTAAATAGTTTAAAAATGTTTCTATATGAAAACCGCTCCATAGAATTTATCTACACATATTATGATGTTAAATGACTATTTGTTTTTATGGAGCAGTCCTTCGGATGTATGTCCAGACTTCAGTTTTGGTGGTTGTCTCAATACTCAATCTCTACAGTGTCATCCATTTTTTGTCCCCTATGTTCTAGTTTATCTTGATGCTGTCATCGGCTCCCAAGTCAATCATGATGTGGTTGTTTCTGAGGAAAAGCACGACAGTACATGGATCATATAGCTTACATATCTTGTTAAAGTTGGGTACCTCTTTATTTATACAGGCAAATAACTATACACTTTAAATATTTTCCATTATATTGTATAGAACCTCAGTCATGTCTAACCCAAATGATGGCAACTTGCTTTTCCTTGATCTCCCTGCCAGCTACTGTGTAAGTGTGAGAACACACCTGGCCTTGTGGAGATTAACTACACATCTCCAGGTAAATATACTTCATGAGATATTTTAGGATTACCATTACTGGAAGGAGTCTGAGTTTGTTTTGGAGAAATATTAATTTTATTTGATACACTGTTATATGTATCATTGGCTCATGGTAAAGTAATCTTTCCCAGGATCTCACCCTATTTGTCACTGAAAGCATCCTGTACCTGTGGAAGACAAACCTAAGTCCAGACTTCCTTCAGGATCTGGCAGAAATGGGAACAGTCATGAGACATGCAATCCCATTCTTCTTTCTGTTTCTGTTATAGTTAACCTGGCAAGTTCAAGGATAACTGTCTTCTTTAGGATGATAATATCCATGGTGGGGCTTGATCTTGATCTGGGAATAAGATCGATGAGCCTGTATTTTCTATTCTTTCTTATACTGAGTCCTTGCAGTGAAGACACCATAATGAGAGATTGTTCCCTTACTTTCATACTTCACAGATCATTATGAAACTGCTAAGGGTATTTGAATTGAAGATGGAAATACTAGACAGCAGCAAATACTATTCAGTGAGTAATTTTCAGTTGGTTCATCCTTGGTTTTATCTGGGATGACAAGATTAGAACATTGTTCTTTCACCAGAAGCTATGGCATTTCTGGTTGCCTCTTTCATGGGACAATAAACAGTCCTTTTGGAATGTGATGGTAAAACACAAACACTGTTGCAGAAAACATGTGTAAGAGGTGATCCTGACCTGTCATCAGTGTAAATTAATTTTATTGAATAGCAGCTGCATAAAACAGCATGGCAGATGAAAGGCAGATCCATTCCAAACCTGAGATGGCCTATTTCTGTTCTTCACTTAAAGAATATAATTATGCCAGTCACTGTCTTCAATGACAAGTATGTATCCATCAACAATATCCATGACAGTAGAGATCTGAACTCTCAGGGAGATGTCAAGAAAGCTTATATATCATCTGTTTTTCATCTATGACAAAGTATATTCTATTGTCATAGACAGGCCAGATGAGACAGGCCAAAGAACAGTCTACTGGCTCAGCAGGCAAATGCCTGAGAGGCAGAAAAGTAGCTGAACTACTAAACCATCAATAAGGGTACTTTGGAGAATAGCTCCATAAGGGTCATTTTTATTTAGTGTGTAGTAGTTGCAAAAATATAGTGGTTTTCATTATGACATTTCCATATATGTATATAAGCACCATGATTATATTTGAACACTTTTACCACATTTCCTATCCTTTTCCCCCTCTCAATGGTCCACTTTCTAGAGGGTTGTATGAAAATTACAGATGTTAACTAGTAACTATTCAGTGAAAGAAACTGAGCTTGCAGAACAAGAGGGAGGATCAATGATGTAGTCCCAACCCAAGACTGAGGAGGCCAGAAGATTCCTAGAGAGTAAGTGGTAAGAGCCCATATTAAAAGGCTAAAGTGGTGGGACTCTGATGTGCTTGGAAACAGTATGAGATACACTCACTCAGGAAAAGTGAATTTGTACCTGCAGGCTGGATTTTTATTTGTCTACTTTTATTTCATCGGCCTCCAGCCTATTGGATGGTGCTGCCCATGTTTACTATGGGTCTTTCCTCCTCAGTGGCACTCCTACATGTCAATCATCTTTGTGAAAATTATCACAGACATATCCAGTGGTGTGCTTTGCTAATCTCTTAGACATCTTTCAATCCAATCCATTTGGGATTTTGGCTTAACTGATCTTGTGCAGGCCTTGGGCATACAGCCAGAGCTTCAGTGAGTTCATGTGTACCACTGCTCTGTTATTTCTAGTAAACATGCAGGCATCCACTACCTCTGGCTCTTACAATCTTCCTGCCCCCTCTTCCACAATGATCCCTGAGGCTTGAACAGGGTTATAGATATCCCATTTAGGGCTGAGCACTCCATAGTCCCTTACTCTCTGCACACTGACCAGCTGTGGGTCTCTGTATTAATGGCTATCTATTATAAAAATAAGCTTCTCTGATGAAGGATAAGGGATAAACTAACCTATGAATATGAAGATAAGAATAAAGGGGAGTTTAATACTATGTACATTAAGCAGACTAATAGTATTAGGTTCTCATTTAGGGCCCATGATTTAACCAGTCAACAGTACAAGGCATGAGTTCAGTCTTGTAGAGTAGGCTTTAAATCTAATTGTAAAGTTGTCGGTTACTCCTATAACATAACTATTGTACCAGTGGGCACATCTTGCCATGTCATTCATTATTGTCATGTGTAGGGTTCACAGTGGGGTAAGATTGTTGAATATTTTTCTTCCCTTGTAGCATAAATAGAACCTCCTGGCACTATGAATGTTACCAAATATTGATAAAGCTTCCGGGTTGGTACCCATTTCTCATTCACATCTTTTTTCTTGATTGACCTCTTTCGTACTTGTTTCATAGTGTTTAACATAATAGCATCTCTTAATTTATTGCTAAGATTGTCATCAACTTGATTTTAATCCACAAAGATTTAAAATTCAGACTGGAATTGTGAAACTGAAGAAGGAACTAATACATGAACCAATGGCACAGCCAAGTGGTATCATCGTGATCAATATGACCATGCCTGTGAATTACTTGGGCATCCCGCGAAAATGCAGCTTCTGTTTCAGTAGTTCTGGAGTTCTGGGATGGGGCCTCATATTTTGGGAATCAAAACAATTCTAGGACTACACAAAAACACATTTTGAACAGCAAGCATCTAGCTTGATTAGGTCTTGTTGTGCATTTATGTAGGGCCACAATTAAATAAATCTAAGGAGATTAATGTTTATGCTGTTTAAAAAGCCACCCCAGGCTCCCTGAAATGGCATTAATTAGCTCTTACTAGCCAGGAAGTCACTTTTGTGTCTACATGAACCCCTTTATATATTGTGATGTTTTTCTTCTGATTTTTTTTTAAATAAAGATTTAAAAACATCTTTACTGATGTGTGTGTGTGTGTGTGTCTGTGTGAGTGTGTGTGTGTGTGTGTGTGTGTGTGTGTGTGTGTGAGTGTGTGTGTGTGTGTGTGTGTGTGTGTATGCCAGTGTATGTGCACACTTACGCTGTGGAACACATGTGGAAGTGAAGAGGACAACTTGCAAGAGTCAGTTCTCTCTTTCCACCATGTGGGTTCTGGGCATCAAGGTCAAGCTATCACGTCTTTCACTTTCTGAGCTATTTTACTGGTCCTTGACTTTCTACTTAGTGGAGATGGAGTTAGTCCATCATGGCCATTCTTGCGGACATGCATGCTCACATTTATGTGTGTGTGTATACATATGTAAATGGTGTTATTCATTGTCAAAATTATTTTGGAGCCGATGTACCTACCACCTTCCTCTTTAGGAATCTAGGATTTAAGATACGTTTAAGTGAGTTCTCTGTGTATGTCTATGTTTATTTGTCTTCTATAAGAAGTCTATAAAATTAGAAAAGCTTTGTTATTACTTGCCAAATTTCTGTTGCCTTTTATTTCATTACATGTCCAATGACCCTATCCTGCATCAGATATTTTCCTAGATATACACAAAATGCTGTCAAACTGGCTATCTAGCCCATAAAGCTCATATTACAAAGTTGCTCACTCTAGGCAGAATCTAGAAAATGTCAACTTTAAAATAAGTTGTGTCATACCATTATATTTATTACCACATGGTCAATAAAAAGAAGTACTTGTGATGTAATTAAAAATAACATACCAGGTAAAATTGGTTGTCCAGCGATTCCCAGTGGAGCCATTCCAAGATTATTCATTGCTGTGGCCCATGCATTTGGATCAGACACAGGCAGCGTCATTGCAGTAGAATCTACATTCAGAGTTCTAGTATTATCAGCTGAAATGAAATGACAGGCCAAATAATTTGTTGTGTTGACGTTCCAGTATCGAGTTTAGTTGTTAGAGGAAATTCCAGCAAACACTTCACAAAAATGGTCAATGGACAAGTCATGGATAAGGCCTCGATGCAATGCTAGTTTTCTTACAAGGATTGAAGCTTGAAATGGCAGGAAGTCATGAAATTTGAAAGCAATTTACCAGATGGCATTTTAGTATATTTCCTTTCTACCCTTTCCCCTGTTTCTACCCATCACAAATGTACACATCAAGGGAGATTGGAATAATTAAGAAGTTTTCTTATCCTTTGTCTACTAGCATATTATTATTTCAGCAGATTCCATTCAAACTGCTCAGGAATACAAACCAAGAAAATAAAATCATCCAAGGGCTCCTGTAGTTGGTAATAAAATATGAAAATTATACTCCTGATGAGATTTTAGGTCCTTGCAGTAGTACACTCGAAAGAGCTGAGCATATCATCAGTTAATGGAATATTCTGGGGGTTAGAGGAAATCCAGTGAAAAAGCAGACAGTACACATGGCTCCTAGCCACAAAGACTGCACAGTCTAGTTGAAGAGACAGATGATGACGATAATGATAATTACTGTTAGTACTAGTACCACCTCAGCCTTCCACTACCACTAATTATTGTGTGCTTACCATATGTCAACTAAAGCAGCTGGCATGCATCATTGTCATTTGACTTTCAGGACAAATCTATGAGGTGGGGAAGATTTATATCTGCATTTAACAAATGAGAAGTTTCTAAAGGTTATCTCTATTACCCAAGGTTGTAAAGAATACATACGTTTTAGTCACTATGGTTTACTATCCCTAATTAAATACTTAAGAGCCAATGAAATACTTGAGTGCTATAGACTAGATTACTGAAGTTTAAGGAATGAAGAGATTCTGTGGCCTGAGTAGGTATAAATTACTTTATAGAGAACAGATGTTGAAAGGGTAGGGCAGAATTGTATAGAGTATATTTTGTGTGATAGGTAGTTATTAGCTAGTAAAGAAAAGGAAGGGACACCCCAGAAAAAGGGATGACATAAGCAAAGGCATTGAAGTGGCTTAGATATACAAGGGCGTGGGCTGACTGAACAGTTGGGTGAGATATAGTCAATAAGTTATCTGAGCACAAAAGTGTTTTAATTTGGGAATTTTCCTCCGATTGCTGATAAGCCTCCAGGTAAAAGAAAATCACACAGCCTTTCTACTACATCCCAATATGAACATCTGCCAATTAGACCCCTGAAGGCAACTCTGTTCTAAGAGTAGCTTATTAATGTCCATCATGTCCTTCCAAGCTGGCAACATCAGGGATGGTCCTTGGCTTCGTTATTTTTACTTGTGCTATTTTAGTCCTGGTGAGAACAAGCAAATGTCCAAAGACATTAGTTTTGAAATTCCAGGTTTGTCATTCTTCTGTGTTGAATTTGCCTTTCCTCCAACACCACCCACACCCACACACATACAGAGAGGAGGGAAGGGCGCGAGAGAGTGAGCAAACCCTAAGTATTCCACATTACAGTCTGAGCTGCTGACGGCCCCCCTGTAGGAACTCCAGTCCTCAAACCCATTGTCGGTGCTCTCATGAAGGCACAGCTCAAGGCTAAACATAGCTCCTTTGTAAATACTATTAAGGAAACAAACATGTACCGTCGACTATCCTTTGGGTCTAGAGTTTACAGAATCGATAATTAGGTCCAGTCAGATTTCCAGTTTCCAGGTAGCAAGTGTTTAGGGGATCTCTGATTTGAGACTGCACAATGTCTCCCAGGGAATAGAGGTAGTTCCACAGGAACTATGTTCCAGTGTCAAAATGCTTTTCTTTTGCCTCTTTCATTTACCCTCAGCATGGCTATGCAATCCTGTGAAAAAGAAAAACTAACAACTCAGGAACGCTTCTCAACATGGAATTTGAAATCAAATAATGGAATTTACAACATACCAATCTCTCCAAACTCTGGACAAATTTGCGGGCTAGAGAGAAGGATAATGGTCTAAATTATCAGTTTTAAAGGACAATATAGTATTCTTCTTCTCAAAATGTCTATTAATCAAAGTGCCTGTTAAGCTGTTCGAAAGCACAGTTCCTGGTAAGGCTTGTTTATACGTATAGATAAGGACCCTGTGTAACTAGTAACATTATTTTACCACAATGACTGTCACTTCTAAATTCCCAAGTGTGTTTTAAATGTTCTTCTCATCTCCCTTGCTTCTTGTACCACCTATCTCCACCTGTCAAATTCCATTTATTTTCCAAGGGTTATCTTAACTACCACCTTCCCTGTGAAGCCACCTCACTGTAATTAATTATTCCTTCCTATATGTTCTCATTACATTTTATCTCGCATGTGATTTTTATGTTTGTTTATTCTTAGAATCCTCTTCCTCAAACCCATTTTTTTGGTGTGTCTTGCTATACAGCAGGTTCTATACTAGGAATACAGGGATGAACAAAACCTGTGTCCTGGAAGAGCTTGCAATATAGTGGGAGGTCCAGATACACAAAGAACCAAATAACAATTATTGTAATAAGCATTACAATAAAACTGTGAGTAAAGTGCTAGGGGACTCTAGAAGAATAATTAATGCTACCGGAATGAGTTTAGGTAGGTATATGTATTTGGAGATGGGAAGGGTGGAGAAGACGAGTTGCTAGAGAAGCTTTCACTGGAAAACATTTTTTTTTTTTGACTTTTCGAGACAGGGTTTCTCTGTGTAGTTTCGGTGCCTTTCCTGGATCTCGCTCTGTAGACCAGGCTGACCTCGAACTCACAGAGATCCGCCTGGCTCTGCCTCCCGAGTGCTGGGATTGAAGGCATGCACCACCGCCTGGCTGAAAACTATCATTTCAATGGGCCCTTAAGGAAGGCTGTGATTTTTTTCCAGATAATGAATGGAAGACCATTAGGTTAAAAGAGCGTAGGAATCAAGAACAACTGAATATTTACCACCGACTTATTGTTCTTAGCTTCATTTCTATCTTCTTCTAGCTTGTTGCTCCTTTAGGTCAGAGATGGGGTTTAAGAGATTAGGCATCTTTCTCATAATTTCTTGAGACAGGGTCTCATTATGTTGCCCTGGGTTGTTTAGAGCTGACAGAGATCTGTCTGCTTCTGCTTTCTAAGTGCTGGGGTTAAAGGTGTGTGGTACCATATCCAGTGTAAGCATTTTTTTAATCCTCCAATTCTTAATGCCATGTGTGGTATAAAGTAGCAATTCATGAAATATTTGAATAAATGACTAACAAAAATTAAATTGTATTGACTTTGATTCACATGTAATGCATGCAATGGCATTCATTGGTTGTGTATATCCATGTTCAGAATGATAAACGTTTTAACATAGAGATGTCATTATTGCTAAGCCAATTCTCAATAGAAACTAAATATATGTAGAAATTTGCTTAGAGTTACAACCAGAGACAGATCTATCCAACTAATAACTTAGTCTGATTACCTATAATCATGCACCTGTATCAGCACAATCATTTATGTAACTGAGATTGCAAAAGTTTTCATTCAAAGACAAATCTTAGGTGATCTTTTACTTCCCAGCTGTCCAGATTGATGGTTCACATTAACAAAGCATGCTATGATAAATATATCTGTAGAATTATCACTAAGTGGTAGAAAAGTTGAGCCTTAGTCTAATTTTCTTTCAAGCTTAAATATGGATATCTGGCAATTTCTTTAAGTATCTTATAAAACTAGTCTCACATCTCAGAAGAGGATATTGCTCCATTTCCTCTGACTCCTATAATTTACTACTAGCAGCCAAGAATACTCAGAAAGGGTTAGAGAGATGGTTTAGTGGTTAAGAGTGCTTAGCATGCAATTACGAGGACCAAAGTTCAGATCCCAACATATACATAACATGTGACTATCCCATATACACCTAACTCCAGTTCTGAAGTGGGTGGAAAGGAAGGGATCACTGGTGCTTGTTGAATTCCAGCCCAAGATAACACAAGCCCTGGTCCATGGAGAGACCCTGCCTCAAAACAATAGGCAGAGGGTGATAGAAGAGGACACACGGAGCTCTCTTCTGGCCTCTATGCACATGCCCAGGCAATACACTTGCATACACACGGGCATACATGTGCACATACGTGTACACACACACACACACACACACACACACACACACACACACACACACACACACACACACGTATGCACACATACAAGAAATCTTTTTCAAAAAGAAAAGAAAGGAATACTCACATCACAGAGGAGGATATTGCTCTGTTTCCTCTGACTCCTATAATTTACTAGTAGCAGCCAAGAATACTCAGAAAGGGCTGGAGAGAAGGCAAATGCTAGTGATTCAAAATGTTCTTCAAATACTTCCCCCAGTTCTCCTACTTTGCTGTGTGACAACTCCTCAAGAGATCAGAAGTTATAGAGTAGTTGTCCACAAATGCCTTTGAGGTAACTGGATTGAAGTTATGGCACTTTGGAATAAGAGGAATGAAAGCTTTCGAAGTGATTATCCACTTTAACTTGATGTCACTCCATAACTACCAAGTCAGTACCTGTTTATGAACCACTGATTACCCAATTCTGTAAAAGTTACTTGAAAATGAAGATTACTCATTCTATCATACAGGAGTTCATGATTATAACTGTTTTTCTTTTGAAATAAGTATAATATGTTGGTACTATCTGTCCAGGTATATTCTTCTTTTTTTTTTTTTTATTTTTCGAGACAGGGTTTCTCTACATAACACCTTTGGCTGTCTTGGAACTCACTTTGTGAAACAGGCTGGCCTTGAACTCACAGAGATTCCTCTGCCTCCCGAGTACTGGGATTAAAGGCATGTGCCACTACCACCCAGCCCAACTATATTCTTTTATTCAGATAAAAACTCTCCATTCCTGGCAATTTAGTCTTCTCCAATTCTTTTTCGAAAATAACAGTATTTATTTATTTTGTGTTTGTGTGTGGGCAAGCATGTGCTGTGTATTCATGGAGGTTAGAGA